CAAACCTCTCTGTTGCTGTGTCGTCTCCCTCCCTGTCCCCCCGCCTGCCACCCAGGGGTCCCTGTCCTCTTCCCTCCGTCCTGCTGTGGCTGTGGCTTGCACGCTGCACGCTCCCTCCCGCCACTCCCGCATTCCAAGGAGCACCCGGATCCCTCCAGATCAAAGGCACGAGGGCAAGAGCTTCGCTTCCATCCCCTTGTGTTGCTCGGCAAAGGTTTGGCAAGAGCTGGTGGCCCCTTGGCTTCTCAGCAGGGAGCTCGGGGTGTGTTCGGGGCACAAACAGCCGAGCTGTGGGATGGGCGCCAGCCCCAGCCCTGCAGGCACAGCAGCCTGAGGTGCACTGCTCATCACCTCCCTGTCCCCTGCCCCCTGCCAGCTCCCAGAGGTGGAATCATTCTGGGAGGATCTGAGGTGACATGGTGAGCAGGTCCCATGCGTGCTGCGGCCAGGGACAGTGGCCTTCCTGCTGCCATGGGGCATTCCAAGGCATGGATGCTTCTCACACAATGCTTCTGGACATGGCTAAAGGCTGCTGGGCTGATGGACACCATGCAGGGGAGCTTTGGGATGCCTCCTTTCCATTCACAGGGAGTTTGGTCCCCCCACTGCCATGCCAGAGCCACTCTTGCAGCTCCCAGCTCTCCACGTGCCTCCCAGCTTGGCCATGTAGCCCTGTCCCTGTCCAGCCCCTGCTCTCTGCACTGTCCCAGGCTTGGGCCAGAGATGTCACTTCATCTGCCCCTGTGCCAGTGGTGGCATAAGGAGAGTCCAGTGTGCTGCTGGCCCAGCCCAGAGCAGATGCTGGATTTCCTGGCTTGTTCTCCATGGGCAGGACAGCCACTATCTCCAGACCTGCTCCATCCCAAACCCTTCCATTCCCCATCTTGTGCCTCCATCTCTGGGGGCCCGATCCCACCTTGGGGTCTCCATCGACATCAGTTGTTTCTAGGAAAGTCACTCTGGGCACACAGAGACCTTGGTGGCCCTGGGTCTGCTCATGGCCCAGCAAAGTCCCCAGCACCACAGAGCACTCAGCACTGACAGCAGCACCGGTGTGTCCAGGAGCTGCACCCACCCTCCTGCCGGGGCACAGCACCAAAGACACCCACACTGCCCCTCTCGCCAGGGCACGGCACCCTCATGCACCCACCCTGCTCCTCCTGCTCTCAGGGCTCTTTTGAGACATATTATGGGGCTGCAGCCCTAGAGCAGGCCTTAGAACCCCTGGGTCAAGCCTGTGCTGACCCTGGCACTGGCAGTGGGTGACATCTGTGTCCCTGCAGGCGCTCGTCCAAGTACAACCTCTGCAGTGACAACCATGGGATAAAGCCACCGACGCCGGAGCAGTACCTGACACCCCTGCAGCAGAAGGAGGTCTGCATCCGGCACCTGAAGGCTCGCCTGAAGGACACACAGGAGCGGCTGCAGGACAGGTGAGCTCATGGGAATGGTGCCAGCACCAGCCATCGCCACCTGCTGTGGCAGCTCCTGGCTGGGACTGGTCCTTCTGGGTTCTCAGTCCCCAGCATGGCACCTTGTCCTCATGCTTGTGCCCAGGGACCGAGGTCACAGCTGTACCATGGCACTGGTGGCATGTGGGATCTGGCACTGCTGCCTGTCCCACCTGGGAGCTGCAGATCTGGGGCCTTGAGAGCCCCATGTTGCACCTGCAGTGGCTGCGTTCCCCCTCACCCTGTTAAGTCCCTGCCGTGCTTTTGCTGAATTTCAGCGTCAGAGGGTGGCTAATCCCCATCTGCTCCTCTCAGGCTTAGGCACGGCCCCACTGCCGTGCCAGCTGCCATGTGCCTGCCTGGGGCACCTGCCCACCCCACGCAGCCCTCGGGAGACCTGGGTGCTTCAGCCTCTCGGGGAGAAGGCTGAGTGACACTTGCAGGGATCCCTGAGCTCCCACTGCTCCAAACAGGCCCTGAACATCAGTTCTGAGAGTCCCCGAGTATCACCCCTGAGGGTCCCTCAGCATTCATCCTTGGGGTCCCTGAGTTTCACTTCTGAGGATCCCTCAGCATCACTCCTAGGGGTCCTGAACATTGCTCCTGAGGCTCCCTAAGCAACACTCGGAGGCTCCCTGAGCATCACTCCTGAGGGTCCCTAAATCACTGATCCATCCCTTGGTCCCAGCTGGGAGCGTTACTGGGTGGTCTGGTTGCCAGTGCTGGGCACACGAGGACAGGGCTGTCCCTGCAGCCCCCTCAGCGCCGCGGTGGTGCCCTTCTGTCTCCGCAGGGATGCTGAGATCGAGGACCTGAAGACGCAGCTGTCACGGATGCAGGAGGACTGGATCGAGGAGGAGTGCCACCGCGTGGAGGCCCAGCTGGCGCTCAAAGAGGCTCGCAAGGAGATCAAGCAGCTGAAGCAGGTCATCGACACAGTGAAGAACAACCTCCTGGAGAAGGACAAAGGCCTCCAAAAGTATTTCGTGGACATTAACATCCAGAACAAGAAGCTGGAGACGCTGCTGCACAGCATGGAGGTGGCCCAGAACGGGGCGCTGAAGGAGGAGGGCGCCGGGGAGTCAGCCGGGGGGTCCCCGGCCCGATCCCTCACCCGCAGCTCCACCTACACCAAGCTGAGCGACCAGGGAGCTGGGGACCGCAACGTGGGGGGCTCGCAGACCATCTCGCTGGACGAGGGGGCCGACAGCGGCTTCGTGGGGATGGAGGAGGCTCCGGGCCACACGGACCCGCTGGAGGTGGGGGGCGAGCCCGGCACCCGCCTGCCCCCCAGCAACACCTACGAGAAGGTGCTGGGACTGCGGAGCAGCGCGGAGGCAGGGGTGCAGGCCAGCTGCATGCAGGAGCGGGCCATCCAGACGGACTTCGTGCCCTGCCAGCCCGACCTGGACACCATCCTAGAGAAGGTGATGAAGTCCCAGGCCTGCAGCTTGGGCAGCCCCACCTCCGCCTGGGTCTCTGAAATGGAAGACACGATGCCCGTCCCCGAGCTCGCCAACCCCAGCGGGACCACGGACCTGACGGCGGCCGAGCCCGATGCCGCCGCCGCGGCCGCCGGTGCCGAGGGGAGCGTCCCCTGCAACCCGGCGGTGCGGCAGCCCCCCAGCGCCAACCCCTCCGTGGCCATCGCCTGCGTGGCAGAGGAGGAGCTGATGGAGGTGACCGGCTGCGAGACCAACCCTTCCAAGAGCTACTGGAGCCGCCACTTCATCGTGGATCTGCTGGCGGTGGTGGTGCCGGCGGTGCCCACGGTGGCCTGGCTGTGCCGCTCGCAGCGGCGGCAGGGCCAGCCCATCTACAACATCAGCTCGCTGCTGCGGGGCTGCTGCACCGTCGCCCTGCACTCCATCCGCAGGATGGGCTGTCGCCCCGTCGCCAGCCCCGGCCCCGGAGGCTCTGCCCAGCCCTGACCCCTCCGACGCCCTCCACCCGCCCCCACGGACCCGACTGCTGATTGTAAAGCCCCGGCGTGGCACCGGCGGGTGGGAAGGGGCCGAGGGGTCTGTGGGTGCATCCAGGTGTGCTGCCCTCCCCCCAGCTCCTGGAGGAGGGAAGGAACCGTTGTTGGAAGATGGGTGTTGGCACCCAGCGACACCCCCCGCCGATGGACACCCCTGCCTGTGCCTCTGGCTGCGGGGGCTGCGGGGCTGCACCCGCCACGGGGGCTCTCCCTCCATCGCACTTGTTTTTTGTTCGTTGCCGGCTCATCCCCGGGCTCGGCCGGTGATGGCGAGGAGCCGCTGGCAGCGTGGAGCGCTGGGGATGCAGCGGTTCCGTGCTCCAGGTGCAGTGTCTGTCTGTGGGCAGGGGGATGGGGGTTCCTGTCCAGACACAGGGGTCAGCTCCGGAGCGGTTCATGCCAGCCCCCCATTCCTTAGGAGATGCCTCCCCACACTGGGATGGAACTGGGCTGCAGCTCACGCACGGAGCCCCCCGAGGAAGCCGTGGGCTCTCCCTCCCTTTGCTTTGCACTATATTCACTTTTTTTTGGTACAGACTGAAGCCCGGCTGTTGGGACTCTGGCTGCCGGGGGGCAGGACCGGGGGCTGCTGCAGTTCTGCCAGCGATGCCGGTGATCCCCCCATGTGCTGGAGCTCGGATGCCTTTGCTGGGGTGCGGGTAGAGCCAAGCCCTTTGCTGCCCCGGCCCACCCAAACCCCCGCTTTGCTGGCGGCCTCTGGAAAAATGCCTTTTTTTTGTTGTTGTTGAAACACAAAGACAGCAAGGATTGCTCAGCGGGGCTGTCGGGGCGCGGGACTTGGGGCTCCCCCGGGCGCGCCGCACTCCCACCCCACGAATGTCTGTGGTTTCTTCGTGACTTGAACTAACAGTGTTTCCCCCAACCCCAACCCAAGCCCACTCCCCCACCTGTGGGTGCCACCAGCCAGTTGCCCTGGCATGGTGATGCTCCACACGCCGATGTCCAGTGGTCCCCAGAGGGGCACGTGCGACATCCTGTGTGCCCCACAGTTCCCTGCATCCCCCTTCTGCTGGCTCTGCCTGTGCTGGGGGGCAGTGGGGACAGCAGCTCTGCCACCAGCACAGCACCAGGTGCCAGGGAATGGATGTGGGGAGCAGCAGTGTCCAGGCAGCCGGGGCAGATGTAAGCGGAGCTGGGATATTCGCCTCTTGTGCAATGTATTTGTGGATCTGTGTACACGTCTGTTAGGCTATCCAAAGCTTTGCCAAGTAATAAATGTAACGACTATATTTGAAAGACAAATCTATATAATATATTTTTTAAATACAGAACTGAAAAAGCTGTAACCCCCCTCTTCTTGTTTCCCCTGTCCTGTACTCGCTCTCTGTGGTGGATGTAATAAATGTCGCTGGGTCTGTGTCTGCTTCGGCTGGAGCCAGCCCTTGGCATCCGCCCTGAGGGGGGTGGCCTAAGCAGGGACACGGGGACAGTGGGATGCTGGTACAGGACATCTGCCCCATCCTTGCTGAGGAGAGGAGGAACCACCCAGCAGCCACCAGACTCTGATGGGATAAGGGGTTTTGTGCTAAAACAGCTCCTTTGGAGGTGCTGTGGGGTCCTCTCAGCAGGCCCTCTGGGCTTCCAGCATCAGCTCCCAGAACAGCAGCGATGGTGTCACAGGTCAGGGATGGAGTGGTCCATGGACGACTTCACCAGTCCTGATGAGAGCCTGATCAGAGAGAAGGGAGGTCAGTGGGGGGAACTCAGGGGTCCCCTTGGGGTGTGGGGGTCCTTGCAGCCCCACATTCTCACCGTTTGACCATGTGCTCGTAGATCACAGTGGGGATGATGGTCAGTGTCACCACATTCCCAGCCCCTGCCAGCACCTCCGTGAGCTGCTTATCCTGCAGGAGAAAGAAGGGACTCCATGGGGTGCCCAGCTTTGCTCAGTATCCCCCTCCCTCCTGGATTCTCTGGCACATCCTGGACTCCCCAGGCATGTCCTGCACCACCAGGGCACAGCCCTACCTTCATGCCGATGACGTTCTGGCCGTTCACCTCGCAGATGCAGTGGTGGGTGAGGAGCCCGTTGCGGGCGGCCGAGCTGTCCTTGGCCAGGGACACAATCTTCCCCTTCTTCACCACGATGCCGATGTGGCCGGTGCTGTCCTTGTGCACGGTCACGGTGCGCTGGAAAGGCCTGTGGGGAGAGCACCCTCAGTGCTGCCACCGGCACTGCCACCAGCACGGTGCCACCACCCGCTCACCTGTCCCGCACCACCATGACGATTTTTTCGGGGTTTGCCTTCTTCAGCGCGCGCTGTGCCTTGTCACTGCTCCAGCCCGCGCAGTTCTTGCCGTCGATCTGCAGCACCTGGTCCCCGAAGCGCAGCCCCACCAGCGCTGCTGGCGAGTTGGCCTTCACCAGCTGCACGAAGATGCCCTGGGGACACAGCAGAATGGTGGCACAGGGATCAGTGGCCATGCCGTGCACCAGGGTATGCCATGCCATGCCATCTGCACCCTGCTGTATGCCGTGACATTTAATGCCACACGCTGCCGTGCCATGACACGCTGCTATGGCACGCTGTGCTCTACTGTCATGCTTGTGCCATGTCACATCATGCCATGACACGGTCCCGTGCCATGCCAGCCCCATGCCAGCCTGGCCCTTCACCTGGTCCACGTTCTTCAGCTGCAGCCCCGTCTTGCCCCGCTCGTCCTTGCAGAGGTGGATCTCCCGCACCCCCGGCTTGATCTCTGCCCGCCGCAGCCCCGCGCTGTTCCCGCTCAGGGGGGCGACCAGCTGGCCTGGGGAGGGCCCGACGGGGGTCAGTGCCTGCGGGGGAGCTGGGGGTCAGTGGGGACAGGGGGGACACAGGGCCCGGTGCACCTCAGCCCTTGGGAGTGCTGCATGCCTCTCTCAGGCAGGATGAGGAGCCAGAGGGATCCCCGTTATGGCACGGGGAGCCACATGGGGCAGGGAGCTGCCAGCCCAGACACCTACGGTGCTGTCCTCGGTGCGCAGGTTCTTCTGGATCTCCTCGCTGGAGAGCGCCAGCCCCATGTAGTTCTCCAGCTCGGCTAGGTTGGGGTACAGCACAGGAGGCTCTGAGGGACGTACCAAGGGTGGTCTCAGCTCCCGGGGCCCACAACCCACAGCCATTGCCCCCTCCATCCCAGGAGCCCCCTGGGACCATGGCCCAGTAAAAAGAGACCCCAGAATCCCATCCCCAACCCATGCACTGAGTTGTGGGGGGGTCTCAGCTGAGCCACTTGCCCCTTCCCCAAATTGAGCATCATTGCCGACCCAGACAGCCCCTACACAGCGTGAGCTGATCATGTCCCTCCTTACCAGTGCCTGAGGTGAGCTTTGGCTTCTCTGTGACCACTGTGGTGGCAGGGGTCCTCACCCCGGCTGCTGCCTGCGCCTGCCAAGAGACAGGGTGCTCAGTGCTGTGCCCCCCACCCTGGGGACCCTCTGGTGAGACCCCACAGGGACCCATTGGGGTCTGCTCACCCCCTGTCACACTGCTGAATTGGCACTGACCTGCAGGACCTGGTGGCCCTTCATGTCCTCCAGGGAGGGGTAGAGTGTTGCCATCGTTGCTGCTGTCTGGGGACAGGGACAGGGAGGTTCAAGGACTGAGTTGCCTCTCTCCAAGCATCCCTCCCAGCCTGGAGGAGCCCAGTACCGGAGATGGGCTGTCACCTGGAGTTTCCAGTGTGACTCAAGGCTATGTCACCAGGGTCACCACCACCGCCACTTCCTGGTGGCTGGGACATGGATGGCTGTGTGCCGGGCAGCTCCTGCTCCCCATATCCACCTGCCCCACAGAGCATTCCCAACACCACCCAGACAGGGGAGTGGGATATCCCATGGGAATGGCCCCTTGCCCCTCATCAGACCCCTCTGCTCCCCATGGCCAGTGGGGCCGTTCCAGCATTACCCAGACACAGCAGGGAGATGTCCCATGGGAACAGCCCTTGTACACACCAGCAGCCCCCTCTGCACCTCATGTTGTGCCCAAGGCTGTGCCCCCCAAACCCACTCTGTGGCATCTTGTGCCCCAAAAAGCATAATCCAAAACTCCTTGTGTAGAGACCAAATCCAGACCCAGCTCTGAGCTCTGCGGGAACCAGGCAGGATCCCACCTGCAGCCCAGGGGTAGCAGCAGCATCCAACAGACAAGAGCCCCCAAGTCCAGCCCTGGCACCCCTGGACTCACCTGCCAGCAGCTCCCAGATCCTTGTGACACCCTTTGCCTGGACCCTGGGTTTTATAGGCAGGCCCAGCCCAGGGTGGGGCCAGACAGCCTCAGCTGATTGCACTCCCGCCAGGTAGGGCACAGGTGAGGAAGAGGAAGATGAAGGCAACAATGCACAGAGCCCTGGCACGGCAGGGATGGGACAGAGACTGGAATGGGGACTGGGATGGCTTTCTGTAGCTTTGGGCATCCTGTGGGAGCAGGGATGGGACTGTACCCCTACATGGTGCCCCCCCCAATTGCATCACCTCTCCTGCCACCCCCAGCAGGTGGCTTGGCCCCTGACTGGGCCCCCCCTCCCCATTATCCTTCCTGGGCTCCACAGGCCCTGCTGGGGGGTGAAGGGGGTTCCCCACCGTGATCCCCTGCGTGGGTGGTGGCTCCTGCTGACACCTCGCTGCCCTGGCGCGTGGGGCTGACGCGGCCGTGACCGGGATCCCGTGTCCCACACCCTCCCAGCCGTCACCTGGGACACGTGCCAGGCGTGGGAGTCCCATGCTGCAGGTGGAGAAACTGAGCTGGCACCGAGCTCAGCATGGGGTGGCCGTGGCATCCTGCTGCCACGGGCCATCACCGTGTCACCTGGGGATCCAGCCCTGCAGCAGCCAGCGGTGACATTCTGCTGTCAGCACCGTGTCCCCAGGGGCTGGGCAGGGGGGTGTTGAGGGCACTTGGGCAGGCCTGGACCTGGTGGCACCAGCCCAGATCTCCCCGGCACGGGGCCAGTCCCAGTGTGGAGCCACAGCCAGGCCTGTCCCAGCTCCCTGTGCCTCTGCTCCGGCGTGCCAGGCCAGGAGGAAGTGTTTTATTTACTGCTGTTATTTTTAGCTGGATGGTGCCCAGCTGCCTTGACCAGCCCAGGACAAGAACAGCCTGAATGCCAACGGCAGAGAGAGTCCTACAGAGGAGATTGTTTCCTGGAGCCTGTTCATTTCCTGAAACCCTCATCCCCACAAAACCACGGCTGTAAGGACTCCCACCCCACCTGCACTCATGGATGCTTCAGGAGCTGTGCAGGGGCTGAGGGCCCAAGGGCAGGGGGCTTCCTTCAGCCTCCCCCCTGCCCTGGCTTAGCCCCAGCCAGAAGCCATTGCTGCCTGGCACTGGTTAATAATTAAAGCAAAAAGCTTTGCAGGAAGAGAAATGCAAACTGGCCTCAAGCTTCCACCCAGAAACAGCCACAGCAAAGGACAGAGCAGGGTGCCGGTGCCCCACAAGCTCCTGTCCTGCTTAGCTGAGCCACAATTCAAGGCAGTTCTAATTCCTGCACGGCCCTGTGCAAGTACCAATGGCTGAGCTGCTCCTGCCCCAGGGCACTGCTCCCTCCAGGACCCATTACACACAAACTTTGCTTGGCAGCTGGGACAGGCTGGTATTGATCATGGCTGTGTTATCAGTTGTGGCACACTGATCAAAGGTTGTCAGCAGAGGAGCCAGGCACTGGCCCATGGTGGTGCCTGAGCGCATCCTACACACACAACACCTACAGCTGCAGCAGCAAAGCCCAAAGCAGGTGATGTGCTGTGCCCCACGTGCCATGTCCAGCTTTCAGAAAGGACTGAAATAAATCCAGAAAGGTGCAAGGAAAGGCTTCCCTGAAGCTGCAAGGACCATGGGAACATGCATCCATGTATCCTTCATGCTTCCAGTCCAGGCTGAGTCATAGCCACAAGGGCATGAGGTTGTGAGGGCAACACTTAACAGGTTATGGTGAGGCACTTAATTATGCAAATACCAGCAGGCCACCATCACCTGTCCACAGAGCACAGGAGCCCCAGGCATCTTAATGTGCTCCCAGGGCCGAGCACCTGAGCCTCACACTAAGGCACAGCAGAACAACCCTGGCACTGCACCCAAAGCACCCCACAAGCCCAGAGCAGCACCCACAGCACCCCACACGGCACCCCCTGAGCCCAGCCCAGCCCCTGCTGTGCTGAGCGACAGTCGGGCGAGGGAAGAACCTCCAGGACACAGGGCTGAGAAAAGCCAGCATCAAGCGTTTTTATTGCGATAATAAACTGGATACCTTTGTGCGGCGGAGAAGGAAGTGACCGGCGGGAATTTCTGTTACCAACGGACTGGGCAGGGCAGAGGGAGGGGCACAGGGGACAGCTATGCGTCCTGGGACACCAGGCAAGCAGCGATGACCAGCATCAGGTGGCAGGAGAGAATGGGCAGGTGTGCTCAGAGCAGGGACAATGGGGAGCTGATGGTTCCTTTCCACGGGGGAGGAGGAGGACAGAGTTTTTGTTGAGTTGAGCCCCCACCACCTCCCCTGCAGACAGCACCTTCCCTTTGTCCAGTTTTCCTTTTTCTTTAAAGAAAGCTCCATGCTATGGGATTTTCAGGGTGTGGCGGAGCTCTGGTGGAAACCCAACTCCCTAAATCCAAAAGTGGTCTGGAGGGGAAGGCAGGCCCACCATGAGATGGCAGGGTGAAGCAGGGGCAGAGCAGCCCTCCTTTCCCAGAGCAAACCCACAATACCCGCAGTGATGCTCCCTGGGGAGCAGGGAAAGGCCAGGCTCCCTCGCTGTCCCACTCCAGGCAAAATTCCTATAAACAATCCTAGTGCTACCTTGCTCTCTGCATCCCTTCAGCCTCGACAACCTCACTCTGCTATGGCTTTTGCAGCAGCAGCAATTTCTGGTTTGGAAACACCATACATCTGCACCAAAACTAGTAACTAACAGGATTCCTTTTCTTCAAATGACTCCTATCTAAGGTCAGCCCATCTGCGTGCTACTGGGAAAACGTAGTCTACACCTGGAACAAAAATAAGATTAAGAACTTGACCCAAAAAGAGTTGAGGTTTACGGTGTATAGTTTAAAAAGACATAAAAACACGATACAAGGAGGAAGAGTCAGACGCAAAGCTTAGTGACCAAAGGCATTCAATCAAGGTGTAAGGTTATACAATGAGTGTAGTGGACTATCAGGAAAAGCTCCGTACAAAGTCATGTGCACTCTTCTTGAAGCTGAGATTCTGGATTCCTCCATGTGCCAAACCTGTGTGGACAGAGGAGAGGCAGTGTGAGCTGGACAAAGACAAGCTGCCCAGGCACAGCAGCCTCCACACAAACCACACAAGGTCCTCAGAGCAGCAGTCAAGCCTTGATTGCAGGGGGAGCACAGCCCCACTCTGCCCACACCATGGGGATCCCACACCCCAGAGCAGAGCCCCACAGAATCCCAGAATGGGCTAGGTTGGAAGGGACCTTAAAGACCCATCTTGTTTCAGCCTCCTGGCACAGGTAGGCACACTGTCCACTAGTCTAGCTGCTTCAAGCCCCATCCAACCTGGCTTTGGACACTTCCAGGGATGGGACAGCCTGTGCCAGGGCCCGTCCAGTCTCACAGGGAAGAATTTCTCCCTAATACTAATCTAACCTTGCCCTCTGTCACTGTGAAGCTGTTCTGCCTTGCCCTGTCACTTCAGGCCCTTGTGTGAAGTCCATCTCCAGGGCTTCTTGGAGCTCCTTTAGGAGCCCCTTTATGCTCTGAAAGGTGCTCCAAGGTTTTCCCAGAGCCTTCTCTTCTCTAGGCTGAGCAACTCCAGCTCTCAGGCTGTCTCCACACCATAAGTGCTCCAACCCTTGGGTCATAGTCACTGCCTCCTGCCCACACCATCAGCCCCTTGCTGGGACAGCATGAGTCAGGAGGGGGTGTGGCAACCGAGCCCCCTTGGTGCAGCAACAACACTCAGAACCCATGGCACAAAGAACTGGCACTGCAACACCTCCATGACATCAACCTGCTCTGCCAGGCTGGGGACTTTGCATGTAGCACTGTAGTGAGCAGAACCCCAGCTCGCCAGATTCCCAAGAACAACTTTTACCCACAGAGATCTGCCCTGTTTTTCTCATATTCCCCATTACTGCCCACTCCCCCCTTGCCTCCATCCCACCTCGCCACACAGTCCCAAGGTATACAGGGGCCCTGAGCTGTCCTCAGTCCCTGACAGAAATTGCTCCTCCTTACCCGAGGACAGGGTGCTGGGATGGGTCATTCCAATTTCATGAGCTCCACATCAAAAATTAGAGTGGCGTTTGGTGGGATGATCCCTGGGTGGCCAGTGGAGCCGTAGGCGTAATCTGGGGAGATGGTCATCTTTGCCCGCTGACCAACGCTCATCTGGGGCAGGGACAGAAACACAGGGATGTCAGGAGATGGGCACAACTGCCAGGTGAGTGACAGGGGAGGGACACACACACCTGTCCCCTCTGTTTTCCCTACACTGGGCAAGAGTACAGACTCGGGCTGCACAAACCAGAGGAACAGGCAGAATGTCAGAGGGAAAAGGTAGGCAGCATGGGCTGGAAAAGGAGCAGGGCTTGAGATGCTCTTCACATGAGGGAAGGCAAGGAATGCCAGGCCATTCCCTCCAGCCACCAGCATCCTTGCGCTTGCGTTGCCAGCGTGGCACAGAGTGAGCAGTGTGACGCGGGCAGGAGCTGAAGCTGTGCTGTGCCCACAGCGTGGGATCACAGCCCGGAGCTGTGCTGTGCCCACCAGCCCTCCCTCCGCGTGGGCTCCGGAGCCCGGGAGGCCCGAGCGCTCCCGCCGTGCTCCTTCAGAGCTAACTCGGTGCAGAAATGTCACCGCTGAGTCACCGACGTGCCGTAGGTGTTGCTGGGGCCTGGCCCGGCTCCATTCCTGCCAGCTGGCAGGTGGCAATGCAGAAGGTGATATTCACACCCACACCTCCCAGCGCTGAGGAGGTGGAACAGGGGAATAAAATAAAAAAATAATAAAAGAGGGAATGAGCTGCATGCACACTGATTCCTGCCCACGCTGCAGCTCCCGGCGCGGCACAGCCTGGCACGGGGAGCGCGAGGCGGGGGAGCTCCAGGCACCTGAGCGACTCCTTCCTCCCAGCCACGGATCACCTCCTGCTTGCCCATCACAAACTTGAACGGCTTGTTCCTGTCGCGGGAGGAATCAAACTTCTTCCCATCCTCCAGCATACCTGGGGAGAGAGAGGGAGATGGTGATGCAGGGACAGAGCCACGCGTGCTAACGTGAGATGCTGTGACCTGGCAGCCCGAGCAGGTGACAGTCACATGGCTCTGAGTCAAAGATGTGTCTCAGCTTGTCCTCCTTTTCCCTGGGAAACACCTGTACAGGATGGGAAACCCCTGCAGCATCACCCATTCCGGGGCAGGGAAGGATGACACTTTTTGGCCCAAAGAGAAGTGCTCCTCTGGGCCAGGACCAAGGACTGACAGGGGAGCAGATGGATGGGGGAAGAAAATCTTGCCCACCCTGCAGCACTACCAACAGCCATTTATCATCAGGCAGCAGGATCTGACCTTCCCATCCCACCAGAAAACACACCTCTCACTCACCAGGCTTCTACCTTCAGGCAGCCAAAACACTGATGACACTCCAGTGCCCCATCTGGAGGCTGTGACTGGCCTCCAGCCCTGCCAGTGCCCAGCTGATCTAAGCCAAATCCCTCTGGACCCGGGAAAGATGACAGGGAGAGGCAGCACCGAGTGCTGGAAGCATGTGCCTGGGGCAGCCCTCATTCCCCAGCATGGGCTGAGCCAGGCTGATATCCCCAGAGCTAAATATAACTCCCCAACATCAGCTAAGGAGGAATTTCCTCCCCTCCCTTGCTCCCTGCCTGACCTTCTTGGGGAATCTTGGAGCTGGCACTGCCTTATAGGAGCAGTAACTCCACCAGTCAACTCCTGTAAGCTGCTACATTAACACAGCCAGTGTGCTGTACACTAAACCCTGCATGATAAGAGTAAAACTAAACTCTCTTCTGAAACACTTCTTCATTTCCCAAAACAGCCTGAAAATCCTGCTATCTTGACTGGAAACTGCTCTACAGTCTTGAAAAATCCAAACTTCCTGAGGATGACATGGGACAGATTGACTTCCTCTTGCCAGAGCATGTGTGCAAGGGAAAATGGGTCTGTGAAAAGGATGGGATGGGGGAGCTCAGCCCCTGCTTACACAGTGACCAGAGGGAATGGCACACAGGGAC